AAGATAATTTAGTTACATGCAAAAGAATGCATGTGTTTGACCCAGCTGCACTGATAATTTCAGACAAACACTGTGATTATTAGCATCATCAAAACAGTTTATTAAGATGACTCCTGAAAATGGAAACTTTCTATTTTTTTTTTTTGAGATGGAGTCCTTACTCTCTGACAGGTTAGCCTGGAACTCATGGCAATCCTTGTCTCCTGAGTGCTGGGATTACAATGTGAGCTACCATATATTCTTGGAATGGCTTCTATTACATCAATAATAATTAAATGCCTAATTTTGCAAAGGAAAAGGCAAAAATTACTTAAATATCATATAATTAATAAAGAACTATTATTATAATAACTATTAATATTATTGCAAGTAGGTTGAAATCAGGGCTTTGTGAATTATTTTATTTATTTGTTTATTTGTTTATTTATTTATTTATTTATTTATATTTATTTATTTATTTTGTGTTTTTGAGACAGAGATTATCTTTGTAGCCCTGGCTGTTCTGGAACTTGCTCTGTAGACCAGGCTGGCCTTGAACTCAAAGAGATCCATCTACCTCTGCTTCTGGAGTACTGGGATTAAAGGCTTGCACCACCACCACCACCTAGAAGCTTTGTATAGTCTTAGCAAGTGCTCTCCCACAGAGCTCAATCCCAATGCTCTCCTTCACTATAAAGTTTTAAGTTATCAAAGATGATCCTTACTATAATTTACCTATTTTCCTAGAAGATATTGTCATAGTTTTTTCCTTTTTAACTATTGTCTTCAAAAATAAGTTTACAGAATTATTTCTAGCCATTCTTTAGCATAAAAGGATAACTAAAAGTTCAAACAATCTGTGATATATTTCAGAATGACTAGAATAGAATGAAATTTTCAAAGGTTAGAAGTGATTGACATCTGAAGAGATGGAAACGCTTATCAGCCTGAGCTGGTGATTACAGAATGTATATAGGTTGAATTATAAAACATCCTATGGAGATAATAAATATTAGCCTAATAAAGTTATTTCTTAAAGATTATTTCAATTATTTTGGTCTGAATTTTGGGAGTTTAGAGCAGCACGCCATTGGCTGTTTGTTATTTGAACTTCTTATAATTCATGGCCAAACTTCTGCCTCAGTTACTCATAAATATTCAAAATGCTTAGTTACTCATAAAATATTCATAAGCATCCAGTAAATACTTAGTAAGCATTAAAAAAAATAAAGTAATCTGGATATTGAGATGCACATCAAAGTAGAAAAAATAAACTTCTTGCTTCTCTGGATGCATGTTCTCAACAAAGTGATTTCAGAATATGCTGACAATAAATAGGGCAGTGAAACAGACAGGAACTGACAGGAGAGAAAGTCCTAGATAGATAGGCATTTCCACAGGAGTTGGAGTTTGGGAGAAGACCAGAAGGTTGAGATGTCCTAGGCAAGCAAAATGCCAGGAAAATGGTTCAGTCAAAAAAAAAAAGTGAAAAAACCCTATTTTTAAGAGCTGACCATGAGCCTGGGTCATAGTGGTCCATGAAATCCTAGCAAATTGTGAGGAAAAGGCAGGGACATTGGGAGAGCAAGGCCAGCCTTAACTACATAATGAGTTCAGGTTATTTGCTCAGGCTACTGGGATACCTACAGAAAAGCCTGAGCCTAAAATCACACTCATTAAAAGCACAAAATCTGGGAGTTCTAGGAACATGGTCCTGACAGAGAGAAGATGGAGAATAAGTGGAGGGCATAGAGTCCTTTGCAATAATGTTGAGTAGGTAGCTGTCCTTCAAATGGAATATACCTTGCTTGACAACCTGGCATGTCTGTCATTCACTTCATGATATATTCATTCTTAAAACTAAGCTTAAAATATGAAAATCTCCTGACAACTTGGAGTAAACACATACCTTTAAACAAATGAGTGATGTCCTTGGCCTTTACATAGATAAATAATTAAGGGAAAAAATTAAGTGAAAACTCTAGACTTTGATTCATCCTGAACAGAGTTTAAACATTACTTATTCTATTTGCTGGGTATATGGTCTTGACAAATATGATCACAGTCATTGTCCTAAGACTTGGTTCACTCCCATGTAAAATGGGCTGGTGACTACCTACTTTGAGGGACCATTGAGAAGCTGAAAGATAATATTTTAAAAATGACCCATTTTAAATGGCTCCTAAGGTTTGTTGACTACAGCATTACTTACTCCTTTCTCTGTGTGCTCAATATTCAAATTCTCCTCTTGGCAGTAGGATGGCCATGGCATGTCTCACTTTGGTGAGATTCCCAGATCACCTGAGTTAACAACCCCCAGGAGAATACAAGCTCTAGTCATGAATCCTCTGCAACTGTTTAGTAGGACATTAAGCTACAGTCCTAAACAGCTATGAACATTGTTTGTCTGAATTATTTGAAGTGTTTGTTATTTTTCTGTCTATATAAAGAAGGAAAGTATGTTTATAGCATTTCTCTGTATATTAGGAAAGGCCATCAAAATAGAATTTAAAAAATTCTCACTTTTATTTTGAAGATGTTATTTAATAAAAATGTGTTCAATTTCACCATTTAATATCATTTCTTTATCTTCCTCCATCTCATCTTCTGGTCCTTTTGCATCTAGGTACCTTTAGTTCAGCATCCTGATTCTACAATGCTGTCTAGTTAGCCAGGAAAATGTGCATCATTAGTTTTCAGTGTCATCTGGTGGTTGTGCCATGCAATTACCACAGATCCCCCCACGTAAACAATTCCTAAAAGAAATTCTATGTCCGTGATTGAATGTCACAGGAAGAGTTATACCTTATAATTGAATTATACATCAGATATGAAGATGAAATTATGTCATATGACTCTATTTGAAATCGAATCAGAACTGTACCCTTGTTCTATCATTAGTATGCTGAATACAATAAGAGAATCCAGCATGTTCTTTTCCTTTGTTGAAAATTTAATAGAGCTACAGAATGGGTGATAGAGGAGCATTATGCTCTCTAGCCAACATCATGAAGGATAGTGCAGTCATTTAGAAGTTGGCTCTGTACACTGAAAACTCTATTAATGGGCATGGAGTTATTATTGTTATATTCATGAGGGCCAATCACCATGGAGAATATTTATCCCTATTCATCTTATTCATAATCATAGAAGTGCTTCACTGTGATTTTTTTTTTTGAAATACAGAGAACTGTATCTCTAAGATTCTGTATTAGGGAATGTTCTTCTAAAATTTCAAATAAAGTCCCAGGATTTGAGAGGGAGAGGCAGCTAGGGCTCTGTATGTTCAAGGCCAGATGATCTATATAGCTAGTTCTAGGCCAGACTCAGTCATCCCAGAACTAACTAAATAAACAAACAAAATAAACAAGTATATAAGATAAATTTTAGCGCTTTCTGAGGATTTTGAAGACAGGGAAGATCCTCCTGACCTCAGGCTGTCCCTAAGCCCCAAGGAGAGTAGAATAATCTTGCTGGGATCTGAGCACATACACACACTGACTCACCTGAGGTAACAGACTCTGTGATGTTCAGGTTGTTGAGCGAAAGCCCTAAGGACTGGCGAGAAGAAGAAGATGATGCAGTGCTTGAGGATTCAGAGGGAGGCCGAGCAGGTTTAGCAGTGTTACCGGTCTCTGCTTTCAACCGGTCATTTTCAGCTTTCAGTATTTCAATTTCATTCTGTTATGAAGACATAAAAGGTGAAAAAAAAAAGAGTTTGAGAAAATGAGACAAACTTTTGTATCAGACTTCATCTGTATGCTTGTTCAATACTATGGTCAAATGTCAAACAAACATACATTATGAAAACAGGATTTTATTTCAAAGAAGAAAAGAGAAACCGTCCTCCATCTCCCATGCATGAGTTGCTACATCCTCCAACACAGACACAATTACTAATGTCACTATTTGTGGTACTGTATAGTAAACCACACACACTAGGCAAATGTTGCATACTAAGCTATATGCCCCATTCTGTTGCTAAAATATAATTTTAACAAATTTAAAAGTTAAGCATATAGCCCAATATTTGAGTGATTGCCTTGCATTTGCAAGGTCCTAAATTTGGTTCTTGGTACTGCCAAAAAAAAAAATAAAAAAAAAAATAAAAAAAAAATAAATAAAAAAATTAAAAAAAAGAAAAAAGAAAAAGAAAAAAAATGGGCTGAAGAGATGGCTCAGCAAAAAAAAAGTAGTTTACATTCCAGCACAGATGTAGCAAACTGAGTACCCTGTATATATATATATACATAACTCTAGTTCTTGGTGGGGCAAACTAAAGATAGAGGCAGGGGGATCACTGGGACTTGCTGGCTTCTATGCTAGCCATAAGTTCAGGGAGAGATCCTGCTTCAGTGGAATATGCAGAATGATAGAGGACAGGAAGAGAGGACACTTGACCTTCTAGCCTAGCTGTATTTACATAAATGCACACACTTGTACATATACATTCACAAAGACAAACACATTCACAAGGATAAACCAAATCTTAAAAGAATATAACTGGATGTTTCCTAATATTTTTAAATGTAACTGGATGTTTCCTAATTTTTAAAAACAATTCAATTATGTATATAGGTGTTTATATGTGTGTGGATTTGTGTTTGTGAATGTATTGCTTCCAGAATCCAAAAGGGAGTGTCAGACTCTCTGGAAGTGGAATTTCAGGAGTCTGTGAGCCACAACACTTGGGTGCTGGTTGCTGAACTCAGATCCTCTGGAAGAACAGAAAGTAATCTTAAGGCTGAGCCTTCTCACCAGCCCCAATGTTACTCCTGTTAAAAATCATATTAGACTTTCACAGGACAATGATGCCAGTTGCACTTCTGTGAATTCATGCCAACTGGACAAAGCAAAAATAATTACAAGGTGATTTAAGTTCTTTCAGTACCTTAGCTAACAAATGGGAAAGGTTTTATTTTGCAGAACAAGGCACCACACTCATAACAACCACAGAAACCTTTTTGTTCATTGCAACAGCAGCAGATAAACTACTTAGCATTTGCTTTTCTTATTTCCAGAGTCCGGGGAACCAAGTCATCATTGCTTCACAATGGTAAAAAGGAAGGAGTAGAGCACAGACCCTTTCTGAACTCCGACAGCAGATGCTTCCAAAAGTGCAGAAGCATTTCTGCCAAGACAGCATTCAAAATCACTTCTAGTCCCATATCCTAAAGCTTGTGATGAATGTCTCTAGTTTTCCTCATTATTTTCGTCTTTCAGTAGAAAATGGGTAGAAGCCAGATTTCAAAAGAACATCTTTAAAGAGCCAACACAAAGGTAATGCATGGGAAAGTAAAGAAGCAAATTTCATAGTAGTTTCTTAAAACTCAACTGCCTGCCTGAATCCATTCACTTGTATGTGTCTCTTGAATTGCCCTGTATGCCGGTTTGCCCTCCCATTGCCAACCTGGATTTGAGCAAATCCCCCATTTGGTATTAACAACGGAGTTGCAAAGACTGAATAAAAAAATAGAAATAGTGCATGGTGGTTTTCAAAGTAGAATTTGTTATCTCATGCCTATGAGAAGAGAAAAGGCTGGCTTTTTATCCTTCTATTTTGTTCCTTGAAGAAGGACGGATGCACAGACCTGCATCCGGTTCATGGCTTCCCGGATCTGATCAAGATGATGAGCTGAGCTGAGGGCCTCCAGCCTTATATCCGTTAATTTTAACTCCTTTTCTCTGAGCTCGCTCTTCAACTGCAGAATGATCTCTGCCTCAGCCTCGGTGCATTCACAGATCCTAAAGGAAAACCAAACACAAAATAGGTTGTCAGGAGAAGCCCGAGGATTAGGGAAAGGAATGATTCTTTTAAAGGCTGAACTTCAGAATATCCACCAGGTACAGAAGAAATTCCTTGCTGCTGGAAAAACCAACAGCAAAGGAGAGTTTTGCCAGCACTCATTCATAGGTTCAAAACTGAAAACAGCTACTTCTCATTTCATCTTTTTGTCCTGTTTTCTGAAGTTTAAAAACAGTCTGGTATTATGGAATAAAAAGTGATCCTCAGAACTCCCTGGTGGCTGATACGGATAAAAGAAGCCATTGTGACATTCCATTGTGTATTTGTCAAGGGGCTTAACCCTCCATTTGTAACATGAAATTCTCCATTTTTAAAAGCCAAATCATTATATTCTCAAAATGCTGATTTCTCCTTTTATAAAACCGTGCAAACAATAACCTTATTTGCCTCCATGCTGTCATTCAGCTTCCATGAAAATCCAATATAAATATTGTAGAAAATAAATTACAGAGATTAGTTTGGGACATTTAAATAATGGATGAGTGTTACATAAACTTCCTGTTGGACGTTGAAGACTTAGGAGATCACAGCTAATGAAGCTAAGCCACCAATTTCAACCCACACCAGGAAGCTAGCTGGAAACTATCTGAAGGTCACATCCACTATATCCTTATTTCTTTGTTTGGGTTTTATGGATAGCTTTGTTACGGACAATCTGCCAAAAGATTTCTTTATACTAGCTAATATCTTCCCCATTTAAAATCTGAAGACTTAGGTAGTTCACAAAATTTTTCCTTATATAAATGATGAAATTATGTAGTCAAAGCATAGTGGTACTGTTTTCTTTGCAGTTCTATGATAGTCTTTATCATTGAGCATACAAGAAAATTTGCATTAAAGACTTTATAAAAACATATGGAATTATCTCACCAATTACATTTTACATGCTGTGTTTTTTTTTCTTAGACCATCAAAATTTGGCTGCTCTAGAAATGTCATGTTATCTAATGCAAACAAAGACAAATGAATTTGGGGGAACTAATGTTTAGTTGAAAAACAGGGGACTATGTGAGGCTATAGCACATGCAAAGGATTTTAGAAAAGGACAATAAAATCCATGGCTGGGTTAGAACCTGTGTCTTTACAGTTTCATGCAACACACTCTTTTACCGGGATCTATGCCTGTAGATGACAGGGCCATTTTTTCGTTTCTTGGGTGGCCAGACAAGGGGTGACCTGCATGTATGCACAGTTAGACAGACACGTGGATAAATGCAAGTAGGAAAAAAACAAGAATGATTTAGAAAGGTGTAGAATGCGATTGAGAAACACCAGGAACTAATAGAAAAATATGAGAGAAACAAATCTCATCCACCATTCTAGCAAGAGTTGAAATGATTGGGAGAAACAGATGCTGTGTTTTGTGAAAGTGAACCTGACAGCATTTAGGACATAGCCAAAGGCCTGGGCTGAAGTCAATTTTGAAAAGTAGGTCAAAGTGCCCACAATGGGAGGAACTTACGCTGAGGCTGACTGGGAGGGCTTCATGGATGTAGAGCCACAGTCGCCGGCATTGTGGGGTAGCTTGGGGGATGCTGGCAGGGAGGAGTCTGTCAGCTCTTCGATGTCTGAATGTGAGGATGGTGGCTTGGTGGACTTTTTCTTCCCAAACGCTTGTTTGAAAGAGCTTCTCAGCTGCAAGAAGGACAGAAGTCAGACGTTTGTCCACCTGAACTTGGAGGGATTGGCTTTGGGGCGTTAGTTTGCAAGGTGCCGTCCTAGCCACTGCCTGGGGTCAGTATATGTAAGCAGAGTATTAACAATGGCAGCACAGCATCCCTAAAACATTAATACTGTGCTCTGTTTCCCTTTTGTTCTTGTATTAATCCAGCGCAGCGCAAACATGGAGGGCTTTTAAAAAGTGCGAGGTCAAGGGCATGGCTGTCGGCACTCATTTAAAACTAAGCACCTTGAAGGGATCTCTGTTCCCAAGGCTTCTCTCTTCAAGGCAATTTGTTTTAAATGGCCACTTTAGCGCTACAATCAAGTCATATCCTGCTGACAGTACAAACTTAAAAAGCAAAATGAAATCAAATTCACCTAACACTTCATTAATTGTGATTTTTTTCTATTCAAATTTCCAATTCCAAGACTATTCAAAACCAGAATTGGTGTCCCCTACAGCTCTATTCAGAAAGTGGTTTTTACTTCTCTTTAAAATTTGAGATTAAAATGAAAAGGCACAAAGAAAAGACATTCAAGGTAATCTGCTTTTAAAAGGTATAAAAGCCTGCTGCCAAAATGAATAGCATTCATGCCAAGGTAGGGTGTTTTGTATAGACGCATGCCAAATGTCCACGGTTTACATTCACCTCACTTCCTCTCGAGTTCACCTTGCAGAAACATGAAAGAGTGTGGAATTACAAATCAAGGGAATGAAGGCTGATCAGTATTTTAAAATATTACCTGCATAAACATTGTGTTGAAACAAAAAGATATTTGTTTTCATTATTTACAGAAAAGCACCAAAGTCCCAACTTGTTTTGAGTTTCCTTAAAAAGTTATATTTATGTGAAGGTTGACTTCTGTCTCAAGGTATTGACAAAAATTCTGTCCTTTACTGTTCTACTTTTTTTAGTGGCTGATTAATATTGTCACAAATTATGAAAAATATATCTAGTGAATTTATGCAAAGTTCTTTTAAAGTTCATTTCTATATTCCTACTATGGTCCATTCAGTATTCCGACCATGCTTTGTTGGATATATACATACATGCCAATAGAAGCTAATGTAGTTGATTTCTTATGGGCTGGTGCTCTATTCACTATACATTCTGTAGAATCTAGGGATTGGGAAGGACTTAGGTTTCAAGGTTTCTCCTTCCCCTTCCCATCACTATTTCCACCATCCTCATCCTAATTGCAATCTTCTTCTTTGTCTCCATTATGATCATAAAGCTGGCTCTTGCTCTCTGCCTTAGCTCCACCCAGCATGTGTGCCCTTCAGCACCCTGTCTGCCTATCCTTAGGAGAGGTAAAGAACTTGAGAAGTGGATCCCAGAGTGGAGCTCTGTCAACTGCTGGAGATTTCTAAAGCCACGCCCACCCCACCCCGCCCCACAAGTAAAAGCTAAGTCCCCCGAGTTATCACAGGATCTGAATTTGACGAGAGGGGATGTCTTACCCAGTTTTTCTTTTTCTTTTTCTTGGAGTCGGCATCGTTACCACTGCCAATGCTGGAGTGGCTTGTAGCGCTGTTGATACTAGAAACACTTTCAGAGGAATGCTGTCTTCTGATGCGGAGATCTAGCAACAGACAGGGGGTGTCAAGTTTATTCACCTTCTCAGTCTGAAGACACGGAGTGTGTGGCTTTAAAGCTAATCAAGGCTCTACAGCTCACTCTACTGAAGTTCTGGTCTGATGCATTGAATAAAGTATAACCATATTTGTTTTAATTAACTGAGCTGCATTCATGAAGAGTCAATGGGACTCTCAAATGGGCCCATGGCACCAAGCCGTTTGAAGAGTTTTGAGTTTAGTCCAACCCGAATGGCTCAGCTCTGTGATTTTCACCAACATCTAAATTAGACAGCACTTCCAAAATGATTTGTTTCTAATGATTAGTTCCATGGAGCCAATGAAAATTCACAAGACGTTAACAATGAATTCTGTCTTTTTATTATTTGAGCTATGCATAAAGTTACCAAGGCCAAATTCTTTAACTTCCCATTTCATGGAATCGGAGCAGACTAGTTCTGAAACAATCCTTGCAAGTCATGCAAGCAAGCACTTTATTTCATAGGTGAGGGTCATGAACTGCAAAGAACTTCCATAACTTGACCATGGTAAAAGAAGGGGCAAGGAAAGACCTCCAAGTGACTTCTGATTGAATAAAACTACCTCTCCCCTCCTGTGTGTGTGTGTGTGTGTGTGTGTGTGTGTGTGTGTGTGTGTGTACATGTCCTCAATTCCTATGCAAGAGCTGAAGTAGGCTATTTGTAAATTAAACAGATAATAATTTTAATATAGTACAATTCTTACAAACACATCCCTGGTCCCTGACCCAATATAGAACAGTAATATCAAAAGCAATAGCAATGCTTAACATGTCATGATGTGCTTAATTTTATTGTTAAAGCAATGAAATATGTTTAACTACTAAATATAATCATGCACACTGTTGCATATCTGAAAAATGGTGGTGTGACCATTGGTGCTACATTAATTCTAATATCTGTTGCATGGTTGTGGTATAGTTTTAAAGATATGTATTTCAACTTAGAGAAGATATTTGAAAGAGAATGGCATTTGGTATTCAATATTTTACAAACACATCTACTAATTCCAAATAATTAGCTTATAGTAATTAGAGCTATTAGAATTAAAAGTTAAATTGAAATTTTATCTTATTTGCAGCAACCTGATATTGTCAGTGGAACACCAAGAACATATATAAAGCAAAATTTGCTTTTAAGATATTACTTGTAGTATATTTAATTTGCATCAATGTAGATCAGCCCAACAAATAAACATTTCAAAGGAACTTGTAAGATGTCAATAATTACTATATGACATTTAAAAAGTTTTATGGGAAGCCTGTTTTTTTCTGATGGGAGACAGAAGAGGAGTGGGCCTGGGGAGGGGGGTGACTGGGAGGAAGAGCAGGGGGGGGGGAAACCACAGTAGGGATGTATTATAAACAAAGACAAAAACAAAAAAGGAAAATAAATTAAAA